AAGAGGACACGACGACGTCACACGCAGCGAGCGTGCTCAGTGTTTATGGAAGTAAACATGGATGGTAACGGTGGAGCGTATCTGCCACTCCCCCACCGCCACCAATGGAGGAAACAGAAGTGTGAGCGCTAACTAAACTAGCATCAGCAGCCAAGTACTGCCTGTGTGTTCTGGACACTTCCACCCCGTCAGAGTCCCCCAGACTACACCGAATGTTCGGATATTCATCATTAATTGGGCCTGAATATCCAGAGAGCAGAAAGCGTTATTTGGACCAGCCCTACTAGTTATTATATCAACTATGAACAATGAATATTAACAAATGAGCCTTCCAGCATCAAGCCCTCCTTGTATCTGGACCTCCGTCTTGACAATCCGACAGCCTTGCTATCCGACATAAAAGAAGGTTTTACATTTAGTGTCGGATTATCGAGTCACGACTGTAGCCTTCTTTATTATGTAACAAAAGTAAAACATATTTTAACATATTTAATGTTCAGGACCATTTAAGTAAAAACATCTGTGAAATAGCAGCAACATCAAACGTAAAGACGAAGGCGCTGATGTTGGACACTCATCGGTTTTTCACATCGGCTAAATTTGTTCATCGGCCGATACCGATGTGGTCGCTGATATATCGTGCATCTCTAGTTAGCGTTCATTCTCCGTGTATCAGTCTCAGATGTTTCACAACTGATACCCACTACTCATGAGCATCAGTTGGAGAGATGGTTATTTATCATCCTCTTTTCCTGGAAGTGTCAAATACAGTCGCTTCAGTGTTTGCATGAAGTATTTCGGCAGCGGGGAGGAAACGTTGATTTCAGCGTGGCTGCTTCCCGGCAGTATCAGCTGTCGTGCGTGCAAATGAAGCGGAAGATGCCGGATCTTGCTCTGTTCCAGTCCAAGCTTTCCCAAAACGCGTTCCGGTAATTTCTGTGGACGAAAATGTACCATTTAGTCATTTAATAGTAACTGGTAGCAAAATAGAAACCGAGCCCTTGCACTTCTTGTTCCATCGGTATGGTGGGCTAATGATCAGTGAGATGACAAAAGAAAAGGCCTTAACTGAGTACAATCAACCAAAACTACTAGATGCTGATGGACTTGGGCGGTTTACACGTCATCCCAGCTCAAAGCGTGAAAGTTAACATTACAGTTACAGCAAACAACCACAAAGGTCATCTCTCTTGTTCATTTTAAGCCTCCAAAGGTGTAAACAGAAAAATAAGTTGATAATCAGTGATTTGTCAGCAGCTAACAAACTCATCATGTAACCGTGTCGGGCAGCAGGTGTGTACAGGCGCCATTCATACCAGTGGTTCTTTGCTCTATGTCAACACATTCCTCATTGACTTGTTGCAGACCAGAGGCTGTACTACGAAGCCAGATTAGTGGGTTAGCGAGGTGTGTTGTGCGTAAAGCCAGAGTTTTCAGGATCATGAAGGTGCCACATCTCCATGGTAATGATACTGTGGAGCTAGATCTCCATGGTAACTGATGGTGTAACCTGGTTGGGAGCAGGTTATGTTCACAGTTTCATATGTAAATCTGCTGGAAAGAGCGTCTCCCTTTAACCAGATTGTTTACCATTATTTAACCCTAACCCTCTGCAAACATGCTGAGCTGTGCGTTACTAACATCACTGAATTAAACTATGTAGTTACAGTATCACACACTGTAAATTAGGGCTGGTCCGAATCCAGCTGGTCCGGGCCCAATTAACATAATTGTCATAGTTTTTTTTAATATTCCTCATTGTTCTCCATTAAAACAATGTGTTGATTGAAGCAGCTGCACACGATCGTTTACTTTAGCAGAAGAAGAGTCACGTGACGCGTTAAACGCCCTTTTTTATGTGAACAGAGTCTGAAACAGAAAGTCTGAGTTGACAAAGTTGAACCACCTTCTTGATACCCGTAATCTCCGGCTGGGGCTTTCGGTTTTGTCGAGCCGGCTTACACAAAGTAAGCCTGGCTATGTCAAACTTGCTTTGTAGTCCCCCCCTTTAGATGTTGTCATTAATGCTATTTGTTGCTGTCATTAGGCAGATTATAGCTGCAAGGATGAACTTAAAATTTTTGGAAAAAAGCAGAATCCTATTCGAGGACAGCTTTAACATCAGACATTCCAACCTGACATGACAATAAAACAGCAGTACCACAGCATCAGTATATCCAGACAGAAAGTGCTATTTATCCCCATACTGTTAGGCGCCTGTTGATGTGTCACCATTTAATGCTTATTTTGAAAACACCATTTTCTTTGTGCTACACCAAACATGTTTTACCTGCGGTGCCAGTTTGTTCCAGTGGGAGTATTTATGGTCACCAAGAATGGGACAAGACAGAGCAAAGGCCATATGAACCCTCATCTGGTGCTTCGCTCCTGTCAACACAAGAAACCTCATGAGTAGAAAGATGTGTCCAGAATGAAATCAAACACACTGAACCGTTTTTTTTTAAAAAAGCGACGTCTTACCAGTAAGAGGCTGGAGCTCCACGAGGCTGCACCCATGGCTGCTGTCCAGGACTCTGTACTTGGTTACTGCAGGATGGGCTTGGCGGTTGGTTCGGACTTTGGTGATGCCATCGCCTTCTTCATTCATTCTGTACAGAGGGCTTAGTGCCATCTGGAAATAAAGAAGTAGTGAAGAGGCTGGAGAAACCACGTACACCAGTATGAATACTTTGACTGTAACACCAAAATCAGTCGTTAGGTTAACGGCTCAATGTGATCATTAGCCAAAAACTTTCAATTTTTAATTTACTGTACAACAAACACAGAAAAGAAACCATGTCTTTGCATTTCTGTACATGTTTGGTGCCTTAACTGATGACTACAGTAATTCATTCTCAAACTTGTACTGAATTGTGGCTGTTAAACAGTGAAGCAGAGGAGGAGACAAACCTTGAAGTGCGGCTGAGGACCCGTTACTTCTTTCTCTATGACGGGAATATCAATCATTCCTTCACATGGCACGGGAACACCAACTGTAACCACCCTGCAGAAGAACAGTGACGACATTAAAAGATTACAGACGTTTTCATGCAAACTGTAGCTTGCAGTGTGACTGTACGCTCCCACTTTAACCCCCGTTCTTTATCACCATCTCACCAGTATTTCCTCTGCACTTGGTTGTTTCCACTGAGGGAGAGGATGTGCTTCACCACTTCTTCACTCCTGGCCAGCAGGAGAGTTCCTGTTGTGTCCTTCTCCAGACCCAGGCAGGGGAACAGCTCAGAATCAGACTTTATCTTCATCCCGTCCATCATTTTGGCGAGAACAGGAAGCACAGACGAGATGGAGGTGACCCCGCTGGTATCTGACAGACAGCAACAATAACAATAGTGCATGTGTTGATATTTGACATTTCTTTCCCATTACTTTTGTTTTCATTCCAGCTGTGCTCAGTACTGACAGTAACACAATGTGAGTAGTTCATATTGTATTAATAGGACATAAGCAGGTGGACATTTATTGGCCACCATCACCAGATTCAGGGAAGCTGCTTCACTTCATGTTCACATTCAACATCAGAATGGAAAAATTGGCATATGCTATATTGGCAAATGTGCCAACATCAGCTCAACATTTTTAAATGCTTCAGCCTTTTGAGAATTGCTGCTGACCATGTGGAGCCATCTACAGCCACGATCCTCTACTTCTCTACCATCCTCTACTCATCCTCTACTGGCTGTTTCCAGCAGGATAATGCACAGAACGAGTCGCTCCATGAACATGACAGTGAGTTCAGTGGCCCTGATCTGAATCCATCAGAACGACTTTGGGATGTGATAGAACAGGAGATGAAAGTGAAGGCAACAAATCTGCAGAAATAATGTGATGCAACATGTCAACATGGAGCAGGACCTCAAGGGAAGGCACACAAATGGCAAATGTGTGGATTTGCTGCTTGTCTGTGTTGTAAATCTGCTTAAACTGAACATCTTTTCGTTTTAGATGATATCTTGGACAAGACAAGACATCTGAAGACGTCATAGGGAGTTTCCTGATCCTTTACAACTAATATATTAAACAATTTATTGTTTACCTAAAAGAATATTGGACACATAACCGATGATGAGATTAAACATCAGCTGCAGCTTTAAAAAGGATAAAACTGGATGTTCTGACATTCATGAAGATGGAACCAGATACATTTAATTTCAGATCAATAAAAACAACAGATCAATAATTAGTACTGATAGAATTTCAGTCTACCAGTTCCTTTCATCTCTTAAGGAATTGTTTTTTTTTTCTGACAAACTTCCCAAACCTTCCTACTTAAAACAAGCTTCTTCTTTTTTTTCTGTCCTCACAATTATCAGAATCAGCTCTACGAAGGCAGACAGGCCTGTGGTGGGTTTACCTCGGACAGGGACCCCGTAGGGTTTATTGATGACAGCCACATCCTTGTCCCGGTACAGCACGCCTCTGTGGAGGTGTTTGGCCAGCACGTTGGGGTGAACTTTTTGCAGCTGCAGGCTGAACCGCTTCAGCTCCAACACCCTCTTCTGCAGGGCGGACACCGGAGCCTCTGCCACCGGGGTCTTCGTCTTCGCCTTCTCCTGCTGGATCTTCCGGGCCAGGTCGGCCGCCTTGAGCCGCGGTCTGTCACCGGTGTCGGAGCCCGGAGCGGGTTTAGCGGCGGAGCTCTGGCTCCGGCTGAGGGACGGTGCTGCCTCCGGACCCCGGCAGCAGATTGGTTTGATCCGAAAGAAGAGTGTGTTCAGACCGGAGCTCCGGTCTTTGATACGAGCTATTCTCCTACAGCTGTTCATTGTGGCAAAGCTAAATATTAGCTGCACATGTTCAGAAACACAACATGACCTCTGGAGGGAACGCGCATGCGCGTACACCTTCTTCTTCTTCGTTTGTCCTTCTTCTTCTTCGAGGTGGTCATTGGCGGTTGGCGAATAACGAGTTAGTGCAGTGACGCCACCAGCTGGTGTGGATCAGAATGACGCGCCTTTACAACGGTTACTAGACTCCCTTTAAAATCAAACACATCCAGTCGCGTTTTGTAGCACATTGTCAAAACTACTTCTATTATTTAAAACTGCTTTCAATAAAAATAAATACAAACCAGACGGCAGCAAAAAAAAAAGGTGTGTCGTAATTTCCAGTTTTCCTGTAGAGGTGCGCTCGTTTCAGTCGCTTTCACTGCCCGATACTCACACGCGCTAGAATGTAATGACAATTTCAGAGCACCGCCCGTCTGGAAGATATCGAAGCTTAAACCAATTACACCCTTATTGTTTGGGGTCGCTACTACAGACATACATGCTGTAAACCGCGTTTTCTGTTGTTTTTGTTGCTATTTTGGTCCCTCGGCGATGTGAAGGGCTACAGAGATGCATCGCTCATCCAAACGGGTGTGATTTGCAGTTTTCATTTAAATAAGCAACAGGAAGCTCATTGGAAGGTTTTACATTCACAATCCTATTTTAAATGCCAGCCTGCAGCCATGAAGATCACAGACAGCGTTATCCGGAGTTTCAGGGTCGTCAGGACGTATCGACAAAACGAGCAGAAGATAAATTGTGTTGATTACAGCCCAGATGGTGAAAATGCGATTTCAAGCAGCGATGACGACTGTATTATTCTATACGACATCCGAGACGGAAGGTCAGAGTCCTAAATACACGAGTCTTAATGACTGAGTGCATGTTTGAATGTCTGCAGATGGATGTGTGTGTGCAACAGGTTATCTGAGGCTGTCAAGTGATTATTGTGTTTTTTAATTTTCTGTCCTTTATCAGACCTAAGAGGACGTTATTCAGCAAGAAGTACGGAGTGGACCTGATCCGGTACACACATGCGGACACACAGACTGTGGTGTACAGCTCCAACAAACTGGATGGTAAGAAAGTGGTCAGCTGGCAGCACAGAGCACCAGTATGGGTCCACACACTGGGTCCATTTATCATCACTCCATACACATAACTGCACACAGCTGCTCTGAGTTCTACCTTTGTGTTTCTTGCCTTGTTTCTAACTGTTATTTATTTATATTTACCTGCTGTAACGTGTCTATTCTTATTTTATTTGTGTTTTTCAGATACCATCCGATACCTGTCACTGACTGACAACAAGTACATCCGATATTTCCAAGGCCACACTGCCAAGTGAGTAAACAAGAGCCAACCTCAATCTGACTGCATGATAAAAAAGAAAAGTAGCACGATTAATTCAAAAAATCAAATCAAGTAGATCTCTGTTGCATGATTTTAAACTGACCAAAGTGCTCTACGTGTTATAATACAGGCAACAACACAAAAATGTGCAAAAAAAAATAAAAAATACAGACGAGACAAGATCAAAATGATTAAAATCAATTTGTAAAGCAAAATATAAAATACTGAAAGCAGCAAAAATGTAAAACAAGAAAACTCCAATTTGTATAATGTTTATAAATGTAAGCGAAGCAGTGATGACATTACATGGAGAAATCACAACAAATAAATGCACAGACTGCCCTAATCGCCCAAATTAAATCAAGCCAAGAAGCTACAACTAGTTTCTTCGTGGACTTTTGAACCCTTCATCTCCGTTTCCATACCTGCCACATCTTTAAAGTTCCTTCACATTTACTCTCACTGTTTTACAAACGCTCACAGAAAGTTGTATTTCTAAAAAACATTTTCCCCTTAGTCACAGTGACTCAGTTGTTCGCAGGCGTCATCAAGTTTCATTTGTCTCATCTGACCTTTTCGTGCCTTGTCTTTAGTATCTAAAATGACTGTTCATTCCTTGAAGTCACTTTGTTTGTGTGTCAGGGTCATCGCTCTCTCCATGTCGCCCGTTGATGATACGTTTATTTCCGGCTCGTTGGATAAGACGATCCGGATCTGGGACCTGCGCTCTCAAAACTGTCAAGTGAGTCGTCTGTGAACTGGCTGGAAAATGACACTTCCTCTGCTCTCCGTAGACACTTACTCAGATGTATAATTACTGTTGCTGCTGTTAGTGCTTCAGATCAGGACGGAAATTCCTGCAGGCCATAGTCGTAGTCAACAAACAAACCCTCTTTTAACCGGCTACACTTACACATGCTCAGATGTCAAACGACCCACAAAAGCTAAAACACAATACTGTCTAATAAAACCCAAACTAAATTATTCTTAAATTGTGTGACACCAACAGCAGCCATTAATTATTAAACTGACTGAACAGAAAAAAAAGAAACTTGTTTTAAGTAGGAAGGTTTGGGAAGTTTGTCAGAAAAAACCCAAACAGTTTCTTAAGAGATGAAAGGAACTGATAGACTGAAATATGGATTTTCTTTGTTTCCTTAAAAGTCCAGACCTCGTGTTTCAGCTTCTCGCTCTTTTCTCTGTGTTTCTTTGTGTTTCAGGGTTTGACGAAGCCACTGGGGAAGCCCGTGTGTTCCTTCGACCCCGATGGGCTGATATTCGCTGCAGGGGTGGAATCGCAGGCCATCAAACTGTACGACCTCCGAGCTTTTGACAAGGTACAGCTCGGTTTGTACGGGTTTGTGGGAGCCGACCTTTGTGAAGCTGCCAGCATGACGTTTGATGATTTCTGTTTAAAGGGTCCATTTTCCTGCTTTGAGACGAGGTTCAATCGCGTTTGTGACTGGACCGGACTCAAGTTCAGCAACGACGGGAAACAGATTCTCATCTCTACCAATGGAGGAACCATTCGCATCCTGAACGCTTTCAATGGATCCGTGCTGCACACTTTTTCGGTGAGAGGCATGTTAACGCAAACCTCCTGGATTCTGCCTGTTTGTATGTGCTTTGAAGCGGCTAAAGGTTTCTCCGTGTCATCTTAAGGGCTACAACAACAGTAAAGGCATCTCCCTGGAGGCCTGCTTCACTCCCGACTCACAGTTTGTCATGATCGGTGAGTTAAAACACCTCGGCCTTATTTGTGGGTCTTTTCCTGCACGATCTCTTGTGACTGTGTTAAACCGTTTGTTGTGCAGGTTCGGAGGACGGCAGGGTTCATGTTTGGAGCACTGAGAGCGGGATGAAGGTGGCCGTGCTGGACGGGAAACATCCAGGACCCATCAACACCCTGCAGTTTAACCCCAGATACATGACGTTTGCTAGTGCCTGCACAAACATGGTGAGAACAAACATCAGCATCTCGTTGTTTTGCTGTCGGATGAACTGGGAAGTGCTCATTTAAACGTTTTCCTTATGTTCTCCCGACAGACATTTTGGCTCCCGTGTGTCGAAGACTTATAGAGGGAACAGAACATCACGCTCACGCACTGAGGTGGGAAGACTTAGTGTGTTGCACTGTACGTTTGGAAAAACCTCATGACTGAAGAACCTCATTAAGGTTTCACCAACAATATTGGAGAAACCTTTGAAAGGATGAATGCAGCTGTTTCCTCGCCAAAATACCTCCTTTAAAAAAGTTTTTTTTTTCTTTTTCAGACAAATCAGTAGCTTTTATTTCACATGTCAACCCTGTATCTCCTCACATCTTGTGTATAGTTAAGCAGATTTGTTATGTGTGTTTTTATTATGTCAACATTTGTTAATAAAACAGTTTTACACTTTTTTAAGAACATAAACACTTTATTTGTCTATCATTATCTTTTGTCTATCATCTATGAATTGAC